GAAGGAACAATTACTGATGCTACCAAAGTGAAACTATCTAATAACGGTTACTCTTACCTCTTCGAACAAATACGATTGGAAATCAATGGGATAGAAGTAGATAGCACACGTGTTCTTGGAATCACCAGCTCGTTGAAAGGTTACTTATCCGGTACGCCAGATAACTACAATTGTTATGAAAATGCTGGCTGGAATTTTAAAAACGCAACGCAATCGGAAAATGAAAAAGGTGAATTTAGTGCTTGCATACCATTGAAATATTGGTTAGGATTGTTTGAAGACTATAAAAGAATATTAGTGAATTCTAGATTGGAATTAATATTAACCCGAAGTCATAGTGATTTAAATGCTTTACAAGTTAAAAGTGGTGCAACTGCTACTGAAGGTAAAATCACCTTAAATAAAATAGTCTGGAAGGTCCCACATATAACGGTCGACGATGAAGAAAGGTTGAAATTATTGAAACTTATAGAAAAAGAAAAAAGTCTATTTATCCCTTTTAGATCTTTTGAAACTTTTGAATATCCTGAACTCGGAACCACTAAAAAAGTTGTATGGAATTTGAAAACTGCTTCAAAATTAGAAAAACCACGATTTATCATAATTGGATTACAAAAAGGACGCAAAAATTTGGTAACAAAAGATTGTAGTATATTTGATCATTGTAATTTAACAAACGTTAAAGTATTTCTGAACTCTATAGCTTATCCATACGATAATTTGAATTTAGATTTTACTAAAAATAACTTCACCTTATTATATAATATGTATACATCGTTTCAAGAATCGTACTATGAAAAAAGTATTCGCAACCCGATATTGAGTCCTTCTACTTTTCTGACAAACGCTCCAATTATAGTTATCGATACTTCGAAACAAAACGATTCAGCCACAGCCTCAGCAGTGGATGTTCAATTGGAAATTGAAGCTTCAGAATCGTTCACAGGTGTGACTGCTTACTGTTTCTTAATTCATGATCGTATTGTAGAATATGTACCTTTTACTAGAGAAGTAAGAAAACTTGTGTAAATATTATTAAGAATTTATTTGTAACAATAAAAAAACTATGATTTAATAATTTGTGTTTTTTCTTGAAATAATTATTTTAGTTTTAAAAAAGAAAAAAATGTTAAATATTTTTTTGCGTGAGACGAAATTTGGTAGTCAATCAGTGTGAAATTTGTTACACGGTAAATCTGAGTGCTCCAAGGGGACATTCCCCCCTTGAACTTTTTTTTTTCCCTGGAAAAGCTGGCTGTGAACATACAAATATATACTACTTCGCACCAAAGTGGTGGGGACCGGTAAGGCTAGCGAAGACGGTCGGTAAAGGAGTCTTTCTAACCGACCAAAAACCGCCGTGAAAAATACATGTGTCGTGTCTAAAACGCGCGCCCACAGGTCAAAGTAAATAAACATTTGTCTGTACTAATCACCATTTACAGACAACATGGCCGACCAACAACAACAGGTGAAGTGGCAGCAGGTGGCCGACCTAATTCAGCGGCTATGGCTGGTGTCCAGTGGCCAGGATGAGCCGCGAACAGCCGCCCAGGTCGCGAGGATGTCGACCCGCCAACTCCTGCAGGACCCGGTGCGGGCGGCCATCTAACACCGGGGCTGGGCGGACCGCACAGCGGACATCCAACGGAGGTTGCGGCCACAGCGACCACCTTCAGCACCAATCAGCCGCACCCCATCACTGACGCGGCCACCAACACCAGCAACCACTCCTGTCCTCCCGACACCTGGCCCCGCAACACCCGCCCCCGTAACACCTGCGGAGAAGACACCGGTACCCAGGTCAACGGGGGTACACCCCGCCCCGACGGTAAGGGTGAGGACGGAAGCACAGCAGGCGTGGAACCGCAGAAAGTTCCAGCAGCTGAAGGAGAAGAGGAAGGCCAGGGAAAGCGAGGCAAGCCAACGACATCGGCTTGCCAAGCAGCCTGCGCCAACCTCAGACCCGGAAGCAGCCTGCGTGCCACCGACCGACCACATACCGCCGGTAGCGATGGAGGTAGACAAACCGGCGCCCGAGGACCGAAAGTCCGAGGAGCCGGGAACATCTACCAACCAAACGCCACCTAACCAATCAGGGACCCCGGACGGAATAACCGAGTCGGATTGGTTGGTGGCATTTGAGGAGTTGCCGGAGATGGAGTACGACCCCGCGTACTACACTCCGGTAGGGTCCCCAAAACACGGATAAACACCACCTACGGGCGCGGGCGAGTCTACCTCAAGCGGAAGCCAGAGGTAGTACAAGCCACCCCCGTAACGACACACCGGCACTAGTACAAGTGTACCCCGTGTGGCGGTTTGGCAGGGGAGTATGACACGGTACGCAGCGGCAACCAGTACAAAGTACAGGTACCGCAGCGGCCGGTCTACGCTTTTGTCAACCGCCACCACGGGCTACAGCGCGACATCGCCAACTCTCCCACCACGCCACAAAGGCACAAGGCGGGACGGGAAGGCAAGTCGCGTAATACGAGTACCGGCCGCCGGCAATTCGCTCTCTCGCCCTACGACCGTTGAATCGTTCACGTGTACGCACCACGGCACCCGACCATCGCACGGTAAAACCACGTTTTATTACAACATCAACGTTGTAAGTTTGTAACGGCCGTCCTTTAGGACACACCGAAAACCACGATTGTACTCGTAATAACATCCGGACACACGGTGTCATCGTGTATACTGTTCGACCGTGTTTCACAAATAAAGTTTATCTCAATCAAGCCGAAACAAAAACCTGTGTTAAACTTTCTTTCCTAAGTGTCACCTTCTCGGCTCTCACCACCAACACAACGACCGGCTGGTTGCGACCTTGCTACGCCACCACCGAAGCCTTGTCAGTGTCGGCCAATAATTTTAAGAGTATAACAAATTTTGTGCTATCAAACTTTGAATAACATTTATTGGTGGTGTAACTGAATGAACAAAACTGATTTAACTGAAAATAAAATTTAAATAAAAACTGTTAAGACGTCATAATAATGTATAATAATGTATGTTGTATGTACAAATTAATGTATTAATCATAACAATTTTTCTACGTATACATTTTAAGAAAACTTACCAATAAACTTAATGTAGGTACAAATGTTGTGCTTTCCAAGTGGTTGGTATTCATGTATTATCAAGTTTACATCACACTTCATAATATAAACTTAAATACATATATTTTTGATTGAAATATCAAATAAAATACATAAATATATCCCAAATTATGACTTAGGTATAATGTAATTTTAAGTTCAATGGAATATTTTTGACAAACTTAATGATTCAACAACTACCTATTTTATTAGGTATATTATGCTATTAAAGAAATTTAAACTGTCTGTCTACTTATAACGGTTTACAACATAAACTAACTATACATACGTATAGTTCAATAATTAATTACATTATACATTTAATATTTAACTATTTAAGTAATAGTGCTATGCTGCATGACCACATGGTTTAGTATTTTACTTTACAAGTTTTAAAGTTCATTATCACTTATCAGTATTCAGTTTATTACAACCATAGATATATATTATTAAACTAGATAGCCGACTTGTTTCAATTATTGAAGTCTGGCCGCCATATGCAGATACGGCAATGTTTATATTTTGTTATCATTATCAATTACTGTGATAAGTAACTGATCAAAAAAATAGAAATTCAAAGTTCAAACATATTTCTTTTTAGCCATGTCATGTTTTTTAGCATTGCTTATTAATAATTAATATTTATTATTGAATAACACTCAAGTGACCAGAACTACTACTGAGTGCTCACTTCCAGTAGGCAGTAGTGTATAATGTATATTGGCCTGTGAAAATGCAGTACTTGCACTACCAGAAAACTGAACATTTGCTAGGTAGTAGGTAGCAACTAAAATTTTCATTTTCAAATCTGAATATGCACACTTAGTATAATGTACATTGCAAGTAACATTTGTTTAGTGCTGCATATACAAAGAAATCAGGTAAAATTCCTTGAATTAATAAAGTATAATAACAAAAGATTCTGTTATTAAATGTTAACATAATAACAACATAATTGTAAAAAAAAAACAATTTAAATATTATATTTTACATTTTGGTTCATTAGTTTCAGTACAAGGAATATAAGAGCTGGGTCCAGCTACTTGAAATTGCTCAAGCTCAAGACACTGTTTTTTAGCTTTTGATATAATGTCTGAGTAGTTAGGAAAAATTGAAGGGACAGCCGTTGCCTTGAGTTTTACCACGCACCTCACGAATTTTAAAATTTTTTTTAAAAAAGACGTGTTTTTTGTGTCACATCCGACGAGTTACGAAAGCTTATCGTTAAGCAAAAAGCAATTTTAATTTTAATTAATTGATATCACGAGGATTGATAACATCTATATTTTGTAAACAGTGCCCAAACTGCATATGGCGACCAGGCGTCCTATTTGTATGCACAGTCTATACAGAGTCGGCTATCTAGTTTAATAATATATATCTATGATTACAACCGATTGATTTTTCTGTACCATTATCATTAATTAATTAATATGATATAATATTTTAATCAATTCTATTATCTTATAAGACCGTGGTCATAGATAATGATAAAGGTATCGCCAAATATCGGTAATAGACAATAGTAATAACTAATAAGATTATTATTGTTCTATGGTAATATGGAGGGGATCTGGTGCGACAGCCAATGTCAACAAAACGTAGCATTGGTCAAATTAGCATATAGGTGTAATGTACATTCAATTAATCAGGTTCAAAGTACAACAATTATCAATATGTTTAATGTAAAGGTGGGTACACACTACACACTGGAGCATTTTGGTGTAATGTAACGCTGTAATGTAACAGAATTCGTGCTCGCTTGACTTTACAATGTTACAATGTTACATGACCAGTGTGTACGGTAGAGTCGAGCGCTACTGTGTATTTAGTTGTTCGTCGGTCTATCCATCAGTTATTCACAGTTTGCTCTTGAGATAGTTCACATCGTGTGCAATGTCTTCTAGAATATCTTCTAGAAATTTACAAGTCGCTAGCGCATCATTTATTTTAATTCATTCAATTTTTAAAAAAAAAAAAATAATAAAAAAAAGTGAAAGAAAATGGTGGCAAACAAATTTAATGAAGTCTAGAGACATATATAGTGGATCAGATTTATTAAATTGTCTTCAGGAACAGGAAATAAGTGGACAGTACAGAAATTTCATTAGAATGTCGTCTATTGATTTTGAATATCTTATAAATTTGATCGGTGCAAAAATTTCCAAAAAAGATACTAATTTCCGGAAAGCCATTCCTATGCAAAAAAGATTGGCCGTTACGTTACGATTTTTGGCAACTGGTGATTCCTATCAAAGTTTGCAGTATCTTTTTAAAATGTCGAAAAAAGTCATTGGACAGATTGTTCCCGAAGTATGCCAAGCAATTGTGGAAGCATTAAAAGAAAATATACAAGTATGTATGCATGTTATATGAACATTTTGAATTATATTTTTAACACTTTTTAAAGTTTTGACCATAATTTAAAAACAAATCAAATATAAATAAATTTTTCCTGTTTAATTTTTATTAGTATTAATAGTAAAAATAAAAATATTATTGATAATACAAGTCCCTTGTTTAGCTTATTAATAATAATAATAATATATAGATAACAATTGTAATTTTAAAATGATATTAATAATAATAAATACCTAATAATGATGATTTAAGTCCCTTTTTTCTGTTTATTAATTATAATTAATAAAATAAAAATAATAATAATAATAATGACAAATGTTGATAAATGTATTTTTCTGCAAACACTTATTATAATAAAAAAGAAATAATAACATTTTAAAGTAACTGCTTAAAATCTTGTTTAATTTAAACACTAATTGTTACTTAGATCATAGGCATTATGAGTGGGAGAAGGGTTAGTATTGTAAATAGGAGGCGAAGGGCTAGGATTGTTTGTAGAAAGCAAAGGACTAGGAATATACGTAGAAAGTATAGGGCTTTGATTATGTGTAGAAGACGAAGGACTAGGAATGTAGGTAGAAGGTATAGGGCTTGGATTATGTGTAGAAGACGAAGGACTAGGAATGTAGGTAGAAGGTATAGGGCTAGGATTATGTGTAGAAGACGAAGGACTAGGAATGTAGGTAGAAGGTGTAGGGCTAGGATCGTATGTAAAAGGTGAAGAGTTAGAAGTATTGTAGTTAGAAAATGATGTGTTGGGATTGTGTGAAAATAATTGTGGCATATGAAGAGGATGGATTTGATTATTAGTTGGATAGTTATATTCATAGAACCCCTGACAAGCTTTAAAAATTATGTTTCCAAAATCATGTTGGACAGCATTTCTTGTTTGTGGAGAAAAACTTAGTAACTTTGTTTCAATGTATTTTGCATACGCACTGCATTCATTTTCTTCTACGGGTTTTGCCGCAGCAGTTAAAATCGAAAATGCCTGATCAAGCATAATATCATCTTCTGTTTTTTTTTTTTTTTTTTTGGTTGAGTTGATGGAGTATTAAAAATAATAGAATCGTTTTGGCTTTCAGTGGACTGTAGTACATCATCTTCGGGTTCATTAGACTGATTTTCGATGTCAACTTGTTCTTCGATGACCTGAAATACACAAAAAATTAATTGAATATAAATATTGATTTTATAAAGATACCAACATCAATTTTTCCAAATTACATCAATATTAATAATTGTAATTATTTTTAAAAAAAAGGGTGTGCCAGTGGGTGTCACTCTGCTGTACAATAGGTTTACAAGTGAGTCACTAAAAATTTGAACTTCAAAAGCTCATAAAAATTTAGCTTGACTTTCCGGAGAAGATTTTATTTTTATAAAATTAGAGAAACCCATGAGGAATATTGTATTACATTTTCAAATCTAAGATTTAAAAAGAAAAACTTTTATGAATTTTTAACACAACATAATTTGCACATTTTCAAGATTTTTTACGTATTTTGTCAATATTTAAACTTTAAACGCCACTGATCTAATTATGGTTAGGAAAATGATGCATTGAAAACCTACATTAAAGGCATTAAAATGTTACCAATAATGCTACAAAAAATGCATTTTAACATGAAAATGCTACTAAAAAATGACTTTAAAATGTACAAAATATTTAAAATGTAAAATTCAGCTGATAATAATTTTTAAAATCGAAAAAATATCTTATTAATGAATATATTTAGACGTTAACATAAATTAATTGTTAAAGCACCTAATTTTTATATCATATTTATATTTTTTTGTATTTTTTATTTACGAAAACGCGAAATATATTTGTAGTAATTTAAAATTTTACATTAAATTGGTAAATGCATTCGTAAATATTCTAAAAATGTTGAATATATATTTAATTAACAAAAACTAAAAAAAAAACCTAAAAAACTGACTCAATAGAACCAAAAATACAATTATTCACGAATATCATAAGATTATTGCGAAAAAAAATTTAAAATAAAATAAACTCTGTGATGTATGAATTGGTTTTTGTATTCGATGAGATATGTCCTGGAGTGCTTTAAAAAAAAAAATGCAAATGGTACAAATTCCCGGATCTAGATATAATACATAAAATTTAAACAATAAACAATTTGAAAAATAAAATCAAAAAAGTTTATATTTTCTTCTATAATGTAATAATTTGTATAAAAATATAATATATTATTATTTAAAAATTTAGATTCCTACGACATCTGAAGGCTGGTTAGCTATTTCAAGAGGGTACGAAGATCGTTGGAATTTTCCCCATTGTTTAGGCGCGATGGACGGAAAACATGTAGTCCTACAAGCTCCATTTAAAAGTGGAAGCGAGTACTTTAATTACAAAGGACATTTTAATATTGTATTATTTGCACTCGTTGATTCCAACTATAATTTTATATACGTGAACGCCGGATGTCAAGGTAGAATTTCGGACGGCGGAGTTTTCAAAAATTGTGAGTTATATAAAAAAATGGAAAATCACTCGTTGAATATACCAGCCCCAATACCATTACCAGGAAGAGAAATATCAGTACCATATTTTGTACTTGGTGATGAAGCATTTCCACTGAACGAACATGTTATGAAAGTGTATTCGGGTTTACATCCCAAAGGTTCGGTTAAACGAAATTTCAACTACCGCTTATGCAGGGCCCGTCGTGTAGTAGAAAACGTTTTCGGGATTTCATCTTCGGTGTTTCATGTTTTACGTAAGCCAATGCTATTAGAACCCGAAAAAGCAGAGGTTGTTGTGATGGCTGTAGCACACCTCCATAACTTTTTACGAAAAAGTATGAATTCGGTGGACATTTATACACCAAGTGGCACATTTGATAGAGAAGTTGGTGGACAGATAACTGAAGGAAATTGGAGATCAGAAAACAATAATAATATGTCTTTATTACCAATCCGGAATATGCCTCGTAGATCGCCGTTGGATGTTAAAGAAATTCGAAACGAAATAGCAGATTATTTTGTAAATGAAGGGGCGGTTTCATGGCAAAGTGACTACGCATATTTTTTTTTTTTTTTTTTTTATTGGTACTTATATAGTGTGTTTTATTTTTTTTATTATACATTTAATAAACATAATACATTCAACTTGTGTTTAACCTTTAATGCAATTGTTTTAAATGTTCAATTTTTAACTGCTATTGTAACAAAATATTAGGAACCTTGTATTTAATTTTCGAACTTTTTGACACGACGAATAACATTTTATTGACATTTATGGAAAATAAACTAAAAAAAATTGAAAATTTCCGTAAAAAACTTCAAAACAATTCAAAATAGTTTGAACATTTTATAGTGTAAAGAAAATGCTAATATAAACATTCAGTGACAATTTCATGTCACTACGGTCATTTTGTTTTAGAGTTACACAACAAACCAAAATATTGATTTTGCGTTAAAATTTGCGTTTTTCCAGGTGCTTTTTAAAACTACTGGGAAACTTTTACTTTTGACCCTCCCTCAAAATACCAACTAGATAATTTTCTTGTCAGACACCCAAAAAAACACACATTATTGTAAAACCAATACATTCATCGTTAAGCTCAGAATTTAAAATAATGTTATAACATTTTTAGTTTTCACTTACAGAGTCTAATGTAGGTCGTGGATTGTCCTTATCCATGATAAATGCCAAACTTTTGAAGGCGAACAATGTGCTTTCATAAACTTCATCCGTTCCTTATATAAAATAATACAAATATATTATATTAAATTGTTTTACAGTCATTCAAGAGTCCCTCCAGACATAATGTTAGTAAATAAGTGAATTTGTAATATAAATAAATAATAATTTATACTCCGGCCCACGAGAGTCCATACGTAAAAACGCGTCCGTCGCTGAGCATCGGCACGTTGCCGAATAGTGGGAATGGCATCATGGTGGGAGAAAACTAAACGTAGCTTATAATCACTATATTGATGCGCGGTTTACGTATGGACTCTCGTTTGCCGGGGTATATACCGGGTGATTCTTTTATCAAACAACACTCATTATTTCAAAAAGTGTAAATTTTTTTGAAGATATTTTTTACATAGTTTCAAGTCGCTTATAAAACAACGTTTTTATTAAAAAATTATATTTTTAAATATTTTTTATCCTTATAATTTTTTAAGTTTTTTTACTTTTTTGTACCTACTTTAAATACTTATAACTCATAAACTACTCGCCTCAAATTCAATTTTCATGTATCAAAATACTAAGAAAAATATTCTACTTTAGAATATAAGATTAAAACCCTATGTTGTCATTCAAAAAAGTAAAAAACTTAAAAAATTATAAGGATAAAAAATATTTAAAAATATAATTTTTTAATATAAACGTTGTTTTATAAGTGACTTGAAACTATGTAAAAAAATATCTTCAAAAAAATTTACACTTTTTGAAATAATGAGTGTTGTTTGATAAAAGAATCACCCAGTATTATAATACAATGTGCTATTTGTAGACTTGAATGAAACTATCCAATTTCCTCCAAAATAATAAAGTTATAAAAATGATAATAATAGTAACAGAAAAGGACGACGTGACGGTTCCAGTTTGTTGTATTTGATAATTTCAGAGACAATTCACAGGTCAATGTATATACGAATGTACGAAAATTCCATCTATTTATAGCTAATAACAATCTTGTTAAGAGGCCGTTACACGGACATTTGTTGTATCCGTCTTGTTGTCTCCGTCTCCGATCTTACATCTAAGTACAAGTGCGTAACAAAGCAAATTTACGCTCAGCAGATCACGTTTAACTCCGGTGGTAGTTTAAAAATTAGAGTGAATCGAATTATTATGAAACTCGATGGTAAGAACATGTGTTTGTGTTTGTACGTGGGTTTTTTACGATAACTCAGTTTTTAAGTGAGTTCTAAGCATTTTTAATTTACGCTTTATTATATACCTTACAAAATCGTATAGTATTCGAATAGGTCATCTACTTAGCAAGACTGGCTAATAATATTGTATCTAATTA